TGTAATTCTCTTTTTACTCCACTTCTTTCCTTCTCTCCTTTTTTTTCTTTTTCTTTTATGGGTCATCTTTCCGAGAACGTTCCAGACCATCACTAACCTTGTTTTTTTTTTCACCTCGTATCAACTTTTTCGAGCGCTGCTCACTGTAACTGTTGCCATAAATCACCTTTAAAATGGCCTGGTTAACGGCTGCCTAGTCGAAATGGATGGAAGACAGAATAGATAAGAAGCTCTTCATGCTGAACATCAGTGTCATATGCTGACCTTCAGTGATTCGTTCTGTCTTTCGTACTGAAGCGATGATGTATATTTTCACAGCAGAAGATCAGACTTGTCGATGCTGATAAAACTGAAAGAACACTAAAGCCTCCCTACATGTCAGAATTTAGACAGCTTCCATTTGCCTAAGTGTTTATTACCTTTTATATCTGATATGGCTGCACAAGAAGTTTTAAAAGCAGTCGACTTTGGACCTCCTTGCAGCTGCTTCCCATATATTTATATGTAAAGCAATACTATAATATGTCCAGTATTACTTTGCTACATAGGGGGGCTTCATTTCTGTCTCTTTTACATTCAATCTTTATCATCTACTTTACATTAATTGTTCATATAATATATTACTTTACAACAATTGTACATATTATATATATTATATTTAGCAATTACTATCTCTATTAATGCCTTGGGTTTAAATAGACCATAACTCTTGTAAATATCTAAGGTCTGAATACTTAATGCTGTTTTAATGTTTTGTTTTGTTTTTTTTTCTGTGGGACTGCAGTTTGAATTTGATAGAATGCTCCACATCTTGATAAATGAAATAAAGCTATCCACTCATCTCTTATACGAATCATAACCAATGCAGTGGTTTTACAATATCTGTATGCAGTTTCCTTTAGCATTTTGTTCAGACTTAACTGTACCGTGTATCATATTCTTCTAAATTCCGTGCTGTCATTTAGAGAGAAGGCTGGCTCAATGGGCTGAGTAATTACCTTCTTCATCAGGCTCTAATCCCATGCTGAACAGTGAAAATGTATGAAGAATATGTTGTTATCCCACAGTTATTGAAATTCCTCAACTTTTTCACTTCATTAAATGCTTCGTTTGCAGTGTTCTGCTTTACTTTTGATTAGATTCAATATCCAGTTTTCGACAACATGGTGAACAGAGGAAATATTCCGAAATGACTCCTGACACAGCGCGTGCATCAAAAGCTCTCTGTAAATTGCAGTCCATTCTGAAAATGATTACATTTGCAAATTGGGGACAGAGCTCAGCTGTGATGGCTTTTCCGTTGACTTTTATAGAATTGATTTATCCAATACTATAGCTTTTAATCTTTCACTCTACCGTCCTCTTTCATCTCTCTTTCTCTCAATATCACTTTTTTCTACACAGTACACTTTTGAAAATAAAAGAGTTTGAAGAGTGGGTGAATGTGTGTAGGGTTACAGGAGGTCTGTCCTTGTGCTTACTAAGCTTGACTGAAGTGTGTTAAGCATAAAAACAGAAGAGGAACTTTAGAGCAAGAAAGCTACCAGCTGGTCAGATAAGGGGGCTGTGGGGACCAAAACACCCCATATTATAAAAGTCCCTGGCTTTGAACTTTATGCTGGTAACAATCTCGATGGTCCTTTTGTTCTTTGGCCTAGAGAACACAATGTCCATCTGAAAGGTTGACACGTCAAACCACAGCACATATTTTGTTTCCACTGTGCATCAGTCCATTTCACTTCTCTGGAGCCCAGAGAAGTCGGAGGCGTTTCCAGACATTGTTGGCAAATGGCTTCCACAGTGCAAAGTACAGCCTTAACTTGCATATGTGGATGAACGGTATTTATTGACAATAGTTTGTCTAAGAATTCCTGAGGTCATGTGGTGAAATCAAGCTGTTTTTAATGCAGAGCATGTGAAGGATCGAAGGCCACATGCATTCAGCTGTGGTTTTTGGCCTTGCCCTTTATGCAGAGATTTCTCCAGATACTCAAGATGGTAGGAGGTGGAAAACCTCAAATCCCTGCAATCACTTGATGTGGAATTTTGTTCTTAAATTGCTGACACATTTGTCATTTTCGCTCATGAAAGACTAGGCCTTTCATGGATGCTCCTTATAATTGCATCAGTACTTAAAAAGTTTTTTGAACATTTTCACAATATTCCTAGTCTTAAATTGCGCCAGGCATTAATTTCAAAATGAGCCTATCATTAAAAAAACAATGAGCTTGATTGAATAAAAGTATTTTCTTACAAGTGGATTAAGAAATCAGTTTGTTTGTTTCATTTCACACTTTTCATAACAAATGTACACAATTTTCTCTTACACTTAGAGGATCATCCCAGATATATTTATACCCTTCCAATTAGCAACTCAACATAGTTTAAGGCAAGCAAGTGATGATGTAGGCGTGCAGTTTACACCATGCTGTGTGACTTTGAAAATTTTTTATTGAATAAAATCAAGAATGTTTTGGCAGTGAAAACACTAACAGTAATGGACAGAGTGGAGTGGAGGGCAGTGTAGGTGAACGGGCGAATGAGGCATCTGTGTTTATATGCCCAGAAGACAGCACTGTACGTGTTAAAGGTGCTGACTGCAGTGGTTCAGCCGCAGTGGTAAGGTCAATGAAGTAAAGGGCAAAAGGCTCTTTTCTTCCCTGTGGTCCAGTTAACCTAATTCACCTCCTGTGTTATTGAAGCCTTGTAGCCATTTTAGCACAACTCAGCAACTCTGACACAGCTTCATGCAACACTACACTCATGAAGCTGTTAATGTTTCACTTATCAGTAGTTCATTTGGAAGCCTAATGTGGAATGGCCTGGTCTATTTGGGTGCCAACATTTGTTAGAAAAACAGATGCTAATAGAGGTGCTGCCAAATTGCTAAAGGATTTCTTCCTTCATCATCTGTTTAGCCCAGCACAGTGGGCAGGTCACAGGGGGCCAGGCCCGGATGAAGACTTTTAGGCCCCTGGGCACGAATGTTTGGTGTGACCCTACCTGGCTACCTTTCTCTGATGTTCAGGGATTTTTTGATGATATCACAGCAGGTAACATTAGAGCTGTGCAGCACCACAATGGCAGCATACTAACTGCAGTGTTGGCCACATCATCGCTACAAGCTTATTCATTTTCAAGTAGAAACAAAACAATAGCAAGATTACATATTCTGCATTAAGGAGAGCACAGGTTAGCATAAACCCAACAACTAATGCAATACGTCTCTATAAAACATGCCTCCACTTTTCATAACCAACACCTTTACCCCAGTGAAAACAACAAATTAAAATCTGACAGCTGGAATATATTTTATAAAGACAGCAAAACATCAGCCAGATAAAAACCCATTCTGCACTAAAGCATACTGCCATGGCAGGTGTGCAAATGTTTTCTTATTTCTTACTTGTGATGACTTTATGCATGAAAGTAGACAGTTCACAGGTCCCTACCAAAAAGGACAATGCAGCTTTGCAACTTGAGTGACTGACATTCTATATTTGGCTCTGGAAATGGGCCTCCCCTGCTGTGTCAGATCCCCCTAGGCATAAATATCTGGATATTCACATTCAGTACATTCAAAGAAACACTAGCTTAATACTAAAAAACTGAATGCTTGAGGTAATGGTGGATAGTTACTGTTGATAAGCAGTGACTGGAGTAGAAAATGATGTTCTGCCCAATGATGTTCAGGAATGATGTGGAAAGCATCAGGACCATGATTGGCTATAACACAATGACCAGTTTCACATTAGTTGTGTTTTTTTGCTGTGTCTCTAGTAAAATTCACACTGCAAGTATAATCAGCTGTTTAAATGTTGTCATAATTGCTCACAGGGGCTCCCTAGTGGCACTGAGCACACACCTGTATAGCCCATGGGATAATCCAAGCCTGTCTGTGGTCATCAATCTGTGGTCATATACTACAGATGTGGCAGATAGAGATTAGGCTGAAAAACACTAGAATGTTCCTTTCAATGTAAGGATGAACAGAAATGAAACGGTAAAATTTCCTGTAACATCTTCCAAAGCAGAAGTATGTAGCATTGTGGGAAATATCACTGATTTAGGGGCCATCATTACAGCACCTTTTCCTGCTGACATGGACTATCCTCTGCTTGAGGCTACACACTAAACTCTCAGCCTTGCCCATCAAAGAAGAGGCCTGCAGCCACTAAGGCTCATAGGAGTTGCGGTTCCTTGAGCAAATCCAGCCAGAGGTGATAGGTTAGAGAGAGCTGAAGGCAGGGCTACAGGAAGATTCCACTCAGACACGGCAGCCTGACCACATTCAGCTCAGCCAACAGTTAAGCAGCCTACTCTACTACCTACACACAGACTGTGCTGTAAAAGTCTCCCGAATATGGACAGTGAGCAACATGGCTGTTCCTGACCACAGTTACTGACATGGTCAGTTCAGATAAGGCTAAATCATTAGATACATATTTTGTCTGAATAGTCATTGGTTGACCAAAAAGACCCAAGTTTGGACTACAGATTATCTAATCCCTGCTTCCCTTAGACAAGTCAATATAGAAATGAAGCTCAAAACATTGCACCATAGAACTTCATTTGTTTGCATCATAAATTTGCCATATTTTTAGAGTCGCTAATTTTGCAACTTAACAAAGGAGCAGATTACACAGATTGTTACTATAGTCATGTGCAAAAGTTTGGGTGCCCCTGGACAAACAACATGTTGTGTAGAGTTTCTAAGTGAAAATAACACATTCTTTACAAAGAACACACATTTTAATACACAATTACTGTTCATTTGCTGAACGTAACATATTGGGGGAAAAAGCTATAGTGCGTTTAGTCGACTAACAGGAGAGAGTCCTAGAAGGATCTAAATGGGAGAAAGAGTAAACTTGCTTCTTTATCTTCTACTTGTCAGATCAAACAGCAGGCGATGGATGTAATGCAGCACATAATTCTGGGCAGGATGTTATTTTTCCTAGTGATCATGTACATGTGCTGGTTTAGGTGATGAGTGCTACCTGTTGTACAGCAGGATGTCTGGTGTCCATATCTGATTGGAGGGGAAGCGTAGGTTATTCACACCGGGATAATTCTCAGGATTCCAGCTTAGATACACATCTGTCCAGCCCTGTATGCACAAAAACACACATAGCTTTGTTTTTATACCATGTAAAGACGTGGGGTCATATGCACTATATTTATGTTGTCTGAATAAAACGTGCCATCTCAGAAATGGCAACTGTACCACGAAGAACAGATTTTTCCAAGTCATTTTGGACCATTTCTATTTGTCTATTCATCATAAAGTTTAAACATAATATAATATAATACAATATTATATAATATAATATAATATATATGTAATAACATACATCACTGGATATAAGTCAGAAACCACCATTAATTAATGTAATTTCCTGTCAAAACAGCAATTAAGTTATTCATTGTTGAGCATCAGGAAAAGAAAACAAAGAAAACATATATATATATATATATATGTAATGGAAAATAACACAGAAGCCTCAACAACTATATATATATATGCATGCAAACATTTATATAATGAAAATATATCCCATATAAATTTCTATATGTAATATGTCCCATAAATATTGTATATATGGAACAATATATATGTCACAATAATGTCCCATGTGTGTTGTATATGTTTCTATATGTAGACTCTTCCTGCAAACAAAAACAAACATGCACATGCAACATGTGAGTGCCCCAGATGAATACACACACACACACACACACACACACAAACAAACATAAACAAATTGAGCACACACAGCTGTCGTCCAGCTGGGGCATACCGACATGAGCTAACCAATGGGACTAAGAAAAAAGTGCACACACACACACACACATACACACACACACACACACACACACACACACACACACATACAGTTTGTGTGTGTTTGTGCCTTTTCTCTCAATTATGTAAAGTCCTGTTTCTCACACATCACTGTTTCATGCACATCTCTTTCCAAACTACATTGATTTGCCAAGAACTCAATGCAGCTCACACATCCAGGTCAGCGCCCCTGTATGGTCTGTCTTCTCTGTGTTTAAAATGCAGCTGAGTTTCTCTCTTCATCTTTTTAGACTGAGGCTTTGGGTCACAGGCCTTTGCCACTGGAGCACCGGCTTTCATCTGCTCGGATTACATTCAAATCAGTGTGGATGTCCGTGTCTATGTATGTTTTAGGTTTGTCCCCTCTAAGTCAGCTTAATCTATTGTAGCATTCTTGGACTAAGACTCTGTCAGTCAACTACCACCAAGCTTCTCCCACAAATGCATTCTTTTGTAGAAGATGTTGGAAGATTGGGCAAGCTTTACAGAGGTCCACCTAATGAGAAACAGTTTTTGTCAAAGTACCACAATAATTCACATCAGAGCACCAGAATGTTCATTCAGAGTCACGGTTTAACAGTGAATTTCTAGCAGTGATGTTTCAAGGGTCTGAGGTGAAAGGCTGAGTGGAGTCTCCATCTCTGGTGTGCAAGTCTGAGTCAAATCTCAAGCCCCTGGGGTACAAGTTTGAGTCGAGTCTCAAATTTCTGGGTTGCAAGTCTGAGTTGAGTCCCGAGTTTCTGGGACGTGAGTTCATTCATGAATATTGAATATCAAGCCCTAGGTGCAAGTCCAGTCGAGTCCCAAGTCTCTGAAGTGCTTATCCGAGTTCTGTCTTAAGTCCCTTGGGTTTGAGTCCTAGTTGAGCCTTGAGTTCAAGTTGAGCCTCTGGGAGTCGAGTCTCAAGCCTCTAGGGTGCAAGTCCAATTACAGCCGTGAGTCTCTCAGGTGCAAATCAAAGTTCAGTCTCAAGCCTCTAGGGTGCAAGTCCAAGTCGAGTCTAGGATTTCTGGGGTGCAAGTTTCTGTAATGAGAGTCCAAGCGGAGCCTCTTTTGTGCATGTCTGAGTCAAGTCTTGAGTATCTGGGGTGCGAGTTGAAGTTGAATTATCGAGCCTCCAGGGTGCAATTCTGAGTTGAGTCACAGGTCTCTGAGGTGCAAATTCGAGTTCAGTCTCAAGTCTCTGGGGTTTGAGTCCAAGTTGAGCCTTGAGTTCAAGTCAAGCCTCTAGGGTGCAAGTCTAAGTCGAGTCTAAAATTTCTAGGCATGTCTGAGGCAAGTCCAAGTCTTGACTCTCTAGGGTTTGAGTCGAGTCTCTGAGGTGCGAGTCTGAGGCAAGTGTCTAATCATGCTTGAATGTATAAAAATGTTCTTAATAACATATATAACAACATTGAGTTTCCATTTAAGGCAAACTATCTGTATAGTCCAACGTTTTGTGATACTATGTAATTTATTTATCAGTGTTGAATTTCACAACAAATAAAACCGAATGGTTCACCAGGAAAAACCTCAGTTGGGGACAGTTGTGCACACACACATGTATTTGCACCCTTGCAGTGGCAGCACGCTTAAACTTCTGTGTCTGTGTTTGTCTGTGTGTGTACGTGTGTGTGTGTGTGTGTGAGAGAGAGAGAGAGAGAGAGAGAGAGAGAGAGAGAGAGAGAGAGCATGTGTGTGTGAGACATTATTTAACCTAGCAGATGAAAGAGAAGGAAAACTGGGTTCTTTTCTTCTTCTCATCTAAACAAATCACATTAGAGTAGCCATGGGGAACAGGGTGCTCTCTCTGTGTTCTCTTCCTCCAGTGGCTCTGTTCCCTCAGGGCTCAGCAGCCATCACGGACCAGTTGGCACTGCCAATGAGATGGGCATTGGGCACGGTACGTGTTGCATATGTGAGACACACACACACACACACACACACACACACACACACACACACACACACACAGCAATTTTGTTATCAGAGTTAAGCCAGGCACGAACTACATGATTTTACCCCATCTTTGCCGTGTTTGACAAGTTTTCCAAATGCCATCAAAAACAAAATCCCCAAAATTTGCACAGAAAGAGATGTTTTTTCTCTTGGTCAGAATTAGGACTCTTGAACTGCACTGTTGGGTCTGACCATCCAGATGTTTTTCAAACATTTCACAGGTTTGAAACCTAAACCAAGCAATTCTCAGACAAAACAAGTTTCTGTGATGTGAAATGTATGTCCTCCCTTAGATGCTGAATACATAAATGGCAAAGAGTTAAACTGGGGCTAGAATGATATGGAACAACATTCTGGAGCCCTTCAGGTAGGATGAGGAAAAATAATGATTTCTCTACTTTTACCAGCAGTGTGATTGAACTGATCCAATGAATCAAAATCATGGAATAATATAAGATCAATCATGTCTCTCTAGAAAGATGAAAGACAAGCCATGTTTCACTGGAAAAATTAAGGGTCAGTCATATTTCCTTGGAAAAATTAAGGACTAATGATCTTTTACTGAAGAAATAAGGCCCAGTGTTTTACTGGAGATATTAAGGACCAGTCATATTCTGTTGGAAAAAAATAGGCACTGATCATATTTCATAGGAAAAATTAAGTGTGTCACTGGAAAAATGATGAACCAATCATGTTTTGTTGTAAGGACCAATGATGCTTCACTGGAAAAATGAACCAATCATGTTTAGCCGTGAGAACCAATCACGCTTCACTGGAAAAACAAAGAACCAGTCATGTCTTGCTGGGAAAAAAAGGACTAATCATGTTTCGCTGACAAAATGAAGGACCAATGATATCTTGCTGGAAAAATAAAGGACCAATCATGTTTCACTGGAAAAATGAAAAATTGCCTTGGCCACCCAATGGCCACCCCATTTATATTGTCCTAGAAGCACCACTGACCAGCAAGCTTTAAATCCAAAATGCAACCCATCAAAATATCAACTATAAAATGTATAGTCCAGTTCTGAAATCTGATTGGCCACGCTTGAAGCCATTGTTGTACAGTTGATATATGTGCACGCTCATCAGCTCACACATCAGCTGAATTCTGTCAACTCACATCTATAACATGTTTACAATCACATTAAAAAAAACTAAATAGTTGATGAAATAAGTGGAATATGTAAGTTCTAAAGTATTTAACACTCATTAGCCCAAGTTAAAATACAGAAATGCTACTACTGGGGCTAAATGTACCTCAGTAGCTCTTAAATATCATGCCCGTCCACCTCGTCCTTCTCTATAATTTTACACACCCATCTGTGATTTCCTCACACCGACATGCATCACACTTTCTCTTGGAGAACATGAACTAAATAACTGTCTGTCTTATTGCTTGCAGATATTTGCTTTCGACATGGCACTATCATCATTTTATAAAGTGCTCCTGAACTCCGTTATTTTTAGCTGCATGCTTCGTTTTTTAGTAGGCCTGTTTAGTAGAACCAATTGCCTATTGCGCTCTCATGCATACGATTCAAAAACATTCACACAGCTTCAGTGCTTTCCTATTCCAATAAGCACTGTTGTTTACTGGAAATGAAATAAAAACATAAATGATTTTTAGTCAATAGCATTGGTCAAACAGTTTATTGGTCACTCAGTTGATTATTTACATCCCTAGATACTATAAATGAATTGTATTACAAACATGCTTTACGCCCTTCTATAAATTATGTGTAAATATTATAAGAATACTCTTTAATGTTCACTTAGGAGCCTAAAATGTTTAATCTGCTACCACAAATACTCATATTGAACCAAAATTAAGTCCCTTTTGCCGCTTAAGCGATGAGACCTGGATCTAATTAAACATGGTGAAATAGATGGAATGTGTCTGGCCTGTCACATTTAGGGTGTTTTTACGCCTACTTGTTCTTTAGTGCAGTTTGTTTTGACAAGTGGGAACATTTTTTAAGATGATCTGCACCAAATGAGGGAAATCAACATTGGAGCATGCTCTTCTCTTCTTCTTGCAGCTTGTCAGTGCTGTACTGTCCAAATAATCTATGTTTTTTAATGCCTGACTCTTTATATATAGTCATATCGCTCCTGTAGCACGAGCTGCTGCTAAAAATGACAGATGAGCAATAAAGTAACGGCAAAGCAATGCCTTTGATATAAGAACATGGATCGCCGAATGTGTTGCAGCCATCCGATTTGTGATCAGTAAACAAACAGCCATGTGTGTAGTTTGGAGCACTTTAGCCAATGTAGTGTGAAACCAATCAAACTACTTTGTGATAAAATCACTAAAAAACCCATAATAGGCATGAAAAGAGTCTTAGACTGTGTTCAGTCTGCAGGCAAATCGGATTCTCAAATCAGATCTTTTGAGGCGACTGTCCACACTGATATTTGCAAGTAATCAGATTGGATTTGTGTGTCCAGATATCACCAACCTATCTGCATGGGTTGATGTGGTAATGACGTAGGCATCACTAACTACGTAGCTACGCTGGTGGATTACAAATGCGGATGCAGGAGAGATGGAGGTGCATCATCTCGCCCTCCAAACTCTTTAAAATTCTCTGGCATGAGCCTGAATCTTTTGACTCTTCTTGAATCTCAGCACTTCTGTCACTCTGGATTCTACATTGTTATTGTTTGTAATGTTGCAAGTGACGTAGAAGACATTTTGAAATTTCTGATTTGAGCAGCCAGAGCATCCAGACTGAGATGCGTCTGTAAAAAATCTGATTGCAAATGCATTCAAACTACCTCCAAGTGTAATTTTTCAAAAATCAATCTGGTTGTGGGTTCAAATCCCAGGACTGACTGGGTAGGCCTGGTTATGCTCACCTAACCCACCCTAGTGTCCCAGGCAGTGCTGTGCCACCCCCAGACTGGGCATTGTTATTGATCTCTTGTAGGACCAATACAGTACATAACATAACAAGGCTGTAAAGTGAGTGTATCATGTTTGCTAACATTTATTTTAATATGATAAATGCCCTTGCAGAACAATGTTAAGATCAGTTAGCTAACTATGTTAGCTTTCCTTAGCTGTGCTGCTGACATTGCTGATTACTTATTAAATCTGTCAGATTAAACATGCATATTTGCATAAAGCATTCTGTTTGAAGATCAATATTAATACACTTTTATGTGTGCAAACCTTTGCATTCTTTGAGGTTTGCGAAAAGATCTCATGTAAAAGGCAATCTATGTTTGGCAGGTAAAGTTCGCTGGCTACCTTAATTCTGAATATCTGATCTGTTTTGTGGGTCCAGCCCACTTTATATTGGAGTGTTATGTGGCCCATTATCGAAAATGAGTTTGACAGCCTATAAAAATAGACAAAGGCACAGACAAAATTTAGGCTTGATGCTGCTTTTTAGGTGTGTTATATACTCTTTTACCACCATAATGCTTTGTCCTATTCTTTTCTTCTTTAAATCCCCTATAAACATGAACTGTCCCTGTCTCTGGCCCAGTCCAGCTTTTGAAAAGGTTGTCACTGAAATTGATCAACAGGATCAAAAACCACTTTGGGAAATTTCCCATACCTGGCTTAAATTCTCAGGCAGCTGATCAATGTGCTTAACCTGTGCATTTAGACTAATGAGGGCTGAACAGGCAGATTACGGATCAGGATCCTGATGATAGACTGTGATGAGTCTGCACGCGTGGAGGGGGTTTCAAAGTGTCCTTGCTGAAACTCTTTTAAAGGGTCCATGTCTTATTTTTTTCCCTTTATGTCTACTGAGTTTATATACAAAAAAGAGTCGCATTTCATGTTTACTTGACCATTTTACACCTTCCTTATATCCCTTAGCAGTAAATAGACTGTTCTATTAAGAGTGATATATGTAAATGATCTCTCCTCTTATTGGCTGCATTGTACTGCACCTCATTGCACTCCCTTCCCAACAGCCAGGAACAGCACAACATTTAGCTGTCTTCTCTAATAACTCTGCAACAGGCTGTCGGCAGTAACAGCACTCCATATCACTTTAACATGAGTGGGAGGGGCTAAACTGCTTTGGGCTGAAAAAGCAGTCAAATATAAATGTATTCATATATTCAAAATGAGTTGTTGCAAGTTTGGTTCATGTTTTTAGAGTAAAATCATTTTTTTTCTCACATGAGCTCACATTTCCCGCAGTGTGGTTTATTTAATAGAGAGTGTGTTTAACACTGTGGCTCCTGCATTTACTCCAGTAGTAGTATGTTTAGCACAGCAGATTTCGGTGTGAGGAGGCTTTTATGATGTCACTGCATTTAGCAGAAAAATTTAGAAATGCTTACTCAGATTTTGATATTTTTGGTTTGGGTCTGTTCCATGAAAACTACAAGCTCCTGATGGTGAAATCTTAAGTAGTGTGTTGGCAGGAAGCATCTGATACCCATGAAAAATAACAGGCTATAACAGCTTCCATCTTCTAGGAAGGCTTTCTACAAGATTGTGGAGTGTGTCTGTGAGCCCCTTTAGTCAAAAGAGCATTTGTGAGGTCAGTCACTGACGTCAGCTTAGAAGGCCTGGCTCGCAATCAATGTTCCAGTTCATCTCAAAGCCGTTCAGTAGGGTTGAGGTCAGGGCTCTGTGCAGGCCAGTGGAGTTCCTCTACATCAAACTTGTAAAACATGACTTTATAGAGCTCACTTTTTGCACAGGAGCACAGTCATGCTGGAACAGGACAGGTTCTTCCCCAAACTGTTGCCACAACGTTGGGAGATTATAATTGTCTAAAATATCTTTGTGTGCTGTGGCATTAATATTACCCTTCACTGGAACTATGAGGACCAGACCCTGAAAAACAGCTCCAGACCTTTATCTCTCCTCCACCAATCTGCCAAAGCCAGATTCATCCTTCTGCTAGACAGCAAAGCATGATCCAGCCCAGAGAACACATTTCCATTGCTGCAGAGTGGTGGCATGTTTTACACCACTCCAGCCGACACATGGCATTGCACATAGTGATCTTAGGCTTGTGTGCAGCTGCTTGGACATCAAAACCCATTTCATGAAACTCCTGACACACAGTTCTTGTGTTGATGTTTGTAATGAGGTTTGGAATTCTGCTTGGAGTAATGGATGATTTTCATGCACTATGTGGTTTAGTACTTGGCCCTGCTCTGTGAGTTTGCGTGGTCTACGGGCTTCATGGCCGAACTGTTGTTGCTTCTAGATGCTTCCATTTCACAATAATAGCAATAATATTATAATACAGTTGACTGCAGCAGATCTTGCAGGGCAGATATTTCATAAACTGGTTTGTGGCAAAGGTGGCATCCTATGACAGTGCAACATTTAAACACACTGAGCCATTCAGTGTGACTGATTCTACTGCCAGTGTTTGTCTATGGAGATTGCATGGCTATGTTCTTGATTTTACACCTGTTAGCAATAAATAGGAGGGGTGTCCACATACTTTTGGCCATATAGTGTATTTAATAGAAAAGTCCAGTTTCAAAAAAGTTGGGACAGTAGGTTAAATATGAATAAAAATGGAAAGCAGTGAACAAAAACAGTACAAAGACAAGATCAACTTGATTGTTTTTGTAAATATTCACTCATTCTGAAATTGATGCCTGCAACACTTTCCAAAAAAGTCAGGACAGGAGCAACGTAGGCTGAGGAACATTGTGATGTTCTAAAAACATCTTTGTGAAAATTACATTTTCTGCTGAACCGTTGGTTTAAGAGCTGAGAGATAAATTATTAATATTAAATTACATCATGCTTGTGTTATTGCAGATTGACCTTAAACAACTGCATCAAAAACACTGTTTTAACTTCACAGCCAGAGACTGCACTCAGCAGTCTGAGTGAGGGAAGCTGAGACCATGGAGAGGTAATGCGTACAAAACGAATCTGCGTCCCTAAACAAACCCCCCGTCCTGTCCGAAGCAGTGCGGCACGATGCTCACACCAGCAATTTAGCAGCCTAATGTATTTTGACACAAGCTGCAATCTCAAATGAATCACTTTATGTCCAGTTAGAGGACAGTCTCTTCCAAAAAATTGCTCCACAGCGAGGCGCCTCATTTCACATAAGTGAATAGCGTTATTGCACCACCATTCTGCTCTACCCTGTTGATGTTTTGCTGTTGTTTTTGTGGCTGTAGTCCTCCGGGCCCAACCTGTGACATTCTATCCTGAAGCCTTTCCAGCATCATCAGCCATTAGCATGTCTCTATGGCTTTAATATCCCTATTATAGCAACCTTTGCGAAACCACAATGCATTGACCTCATTTACATTTCCACCAATGCTGATGTTGTTGTTGTTATTTCTCCTGCTGTTCTCCTGGGCAATGTCTAAGCAATGAGCATCTTTCAGAAGCCATGCACATGTACACAGACACTCGCAACAATGCCGCTCAGCAGGGATCGGCTCAGGGAATATTAATATTTATTTAAACTAAGCTAAAGCTCACAGATGGATTACATTTGCTAATAAAAGCAGGGCTTGTAGTGGACACACACAAAACAATGTCAGCACATGGGGTCATACATATGTCCCATATGTGTTATATCTATGTTTGTACCTACAAGTAATTATATGTTCCCTATGTACATGTAATAATACTGTAAAATAGGCCATTAAGTACAAATTATTCATTTTTCAGAGTTAGGAAAAAAACATAATATCATGTCTTGCAGTATTGAGTGCATATACTGTTTACTTTTACTACAGCTTCCATTCTTCAGTGTTTGAAAGAAATCTGCAGGGACATTTTTCCACATCTCTAAAGTTCAGTCTTAGAAGTTGGTTGCATTTACTGCTTTTCATGATCCAAGTAATCCCAAACACATTCAGTGATATTGAGGTCTGGACTCTGTAGTGGTCAGTCCATTGTTCTGTGAACACCAGCAGCTTCTTTGTTTGATTCTCTAATGTTTTTTGTTCTTTTTTTAGTGATTGAAAGAAAAAAAGAAAATGGGACTCCTAAGAACAACAACTGCACAAGACCTAATAGACCACCAACACTGTCCCCATCAGAAAAACAGCACTTAGTGTAGCTGTCAAGAAGCCATAACTAAGAAATGGATATAGAGAGATAGAACATTTGCAGATTAAATAAAGAAGCTGCTGGTGTTCTCAGAACAATGGACTGACCACCCCAGAGTCCAGACCTCAACATCACTGAAGGTGATTACTTGGATTGTTAGAAGCAGAAAATGCAACCAACTTCTAAGACTGAATTTCATATATTCAAACATATTTAACTTATCCAGTATATTCAAACACATAATCCAACAAACATACATATAAATGATAGTAGAACTCACCAGTTGTAGCCAGGCATTGGTGATAAGCACTTGATTCTTCTCATCCTAAAGGAGAACAAAGAAAGAAAACAGAAAACAGGTTTGATATGAAAGAAAGATTATTCACTGTAAAAAAATACTGTAAATGTACAGTGAGTACATTATAGTAATCTACTGCACTGCTTAAATACAGCAGATTGCTGTAAAAAAGTATGCATTCTGGTAGAAAGTGTTCAAGCTTCTTGACAAATGGCATATTTTACAGTACAGTAAATATTTGCAAAGTATACTGTGACAAGGACTTTTATTTTGTATGTCTGAATATTGAGGTAACAGGTGCAGAAGCCTCTCAGTATTAAATGTGGCTTTGTTATTTTCTGTTAATAGGCTTTATTTCTTTCTCTACAGTTCATTTCACAGATTTATAGTTGTATGCAAAAGTTTGTGCACCCCTGGTTAAATGGTATTTTGTTGATTTTCTGAAAATTTTTGAAAAGTTAACACATTATTTACAGAGACATTTGTGCACATTTTAATGCACAATTACAGTTCATCTGTTGAATTTACCATATTGGAATCAAACACAGTGATTGTCATGTATAGCAAAGTCACAACCACTGAACATTGTGTGCAATTACACATTTCCACCAGAGAGGTCTCCAAATCCCCAAAACTTACTCAGTGCAGCTTTAACGTGTTATATTTGCCCCAAAGATATATTAGGATGCATTTTACATGTTTTGTTATTCCAGCCTTTATGGTGCCTTCAGTAGTTTATCCCAGTTGATTTTTCACTAAAACAGACATTAACTGATGTTAAGATCATTTCTGATCTTATCGATTGGCATAAACTCATATAACTGCTGTAATGTCTTCTGTATAAGATGTGCTTGATAAACAGTTTAGGACTGTTGTGATTACACTATATAGCTATAATTACCTGAAATTCAACAGTATGTAATACTTAAGGTATGTACAATAAACCTCTGTATTATGTAATTACTAGCGCTGTGGAAGTTAACATGTAAACACAATCAATTATTGACAGCACTTTTTTTACACTTTTTCCTAGTTTCACCCTTCAAATTATGTGTTAATATATCAGTAATTCAGCGGAAAATGCTGGACAGCACTCACAAGAGAGAAGCAAATAAACGCAACAGTGGAAAACTCCAGTTCCCCTCAAAACACTATCTGAGAGCTACTTACATAGGGACTTCACAAACTTTGAATAGTGCATATTAAAAAATAACGCTTGGGAATGTATAAGCAGCTTATATCAAAATCTTAGTGCAGGGTCAAATTTAAGCAAATAAGACAAATGTGACTAATTGTGATAAATTATTAATTGTTTAACTGCCCTAGTAACTACAGTATAATGATGAGGATAGGAATTGCAGTGCGATGCAATTGAGCTGTATATAAACAATACTTTACATTAATGTAAATACAGCACATTTTACTTACATGAATCAAAAACATAGTAAGAACATATATTTTGATGACTTTAGTGTGTTGTAACAGTGAATTGAGTATCAGTACTGTAAATAAACAGTGTTACGCTCGAGAAACTGCTCCCTCATAATTACTGTTATTTTGCATCAAAATTTGCTTTGTACAACTGGAGGGTTAAATTAAAGGGAAATCATTGAGATGTAAACAAAGTCATTCAGAGCGGTTTGGTGTGAAGTGCTCTTTGTCCTTTTCTATAGAATCAAAATTGTTCACAGTAGTGATAGGAACACGACGTCTATCTCTAAAAGCTCCCCCATAGAAAGTTATTACACAAAATGGTTATGAATACTCAGCCTGATGTCTGAAATATTGTTCTTGCTCTGTTTGGAGATAATACTTGGGCCTAAAGCATATTAGTTAAAATCCATTCATGGCGGAGAGATATGGCGTTTGCAGGGCAAAAAAGTAGTCCCTAAAGGAAATGTTTTTTTTGCAGATTTACCACTAATCTGACATGTGTAGGTTTGCTGGTCATTTGGATAGTAAAATCAATGACTATTTGTAATGTAGACATTGTGACACCTGGTTCCTATCACCACCATTGTAAAGAAATCTTTTCACTCAGTTTCTCCACTAGCACTCTTTCCATCTCTCAATCCATCAGGCATTTTCTCCTTTTGGGCTTCCAGATATTGAGATATGGACAGCTGTGGCATTGCTGGGGTCACACTCACAACCTCCTGGTGTTGGGGTGAATACTTAAACCACTGCCCCACATGTACCTGCATTACTTTAAAACAACATTTTTTTTTATATATATATTTGAAGACACAGAGACCTGAGTGACTTCAGGAGCTTGCAAGTGGTGCAATGGACTAAGCATTCACTCCCATCATCTTAACTGCAGTGATGCCACAGCCATTCATAACTGGGAGCCTAAGAGGAGAAAACACTTTATTAAATGTTTAGGGACACAGAAACCTGAGTAATTTCAGGAGCTTGCAAGTGGAGCAATGCACTAAGCATTCACCCCCACCAGGAGGTTGTGGGTTTTAACCTCAGTGATGCCATAGCCATCCATAACAGGGTCCCAAGAGGAGAAAATGCCTGATGGGATTTCTCAGATGGAAAGAGTCTCAGGTAACTATAAAATCAAGTTATGACATACATTCTATTGCGTATCTAACAGACTGTATGTCTTATGTGAGTATAGAATGTCTGAGAGTATAGAATGTATCTCTAATAGATGCAGACCTAAAAATGAGAGTCCAGAGAACTTTTGACTAAGCTAAGAGGTTTGAATTGTGTGAACTCTAGTGTCTAAGTTTACACAAGAAAAGCTAAGAAGTTACTTTATAATTTTCAATTGAGCTGACTAACAGTGTTATAGACTCTGTCTCCCTCTCACCCACTCTCTCCATCTTAACCCCCCCCAGCACCTCCGACCACACACAGACAGACGCATTAGGAGCTTTTGAGATGAGTGTGCGAGAGTGGTTATGACAGTCGGTGTGAATTGGAGCAATCTCCGACACTGTAATAATCACCACTAGAATGGAGAGCACTTCTCAGTGTAATATGCCTTTATGACTTCATGAAAGCCGCGTTACGTAAGCCTTTGCCTCAACATTTACCGAGCGCTTTCAGCGGGCGGGTGTCTGAAATGCTGTCTGCTCTCACTCGGGGCTTCGCTGTTTTGATTATGAGATACATGATGGAGGTGATATGATGATAAAGGAAACAGAGCTGACCAAACAGGCTGGAAAACAAAGAAAGGAAAAATTCATCTCCATTTATGCACAAAGCCAAAGAGCCAGTGAAACGGGGAATAACGTGTGGCCTACATAAGAGCCACTGGAAAGACAATGAACAACTTTTCCCAGCCTCTGCTGTGCACTATTTAGCTTACAGCTGGGGATTTACAAAGGGTCAACTCATGGTCGGCCAGACAGAGAGAGAGAGAGAAAGAAATTGAATTTTCCATCAGAAAACAAGAGAAACATCCATAAAGTGGCAAACACTTTATTTGATGGCTTCCCAAATAGGGACTTCATAAGCATTGTACAATATACAAACCTAACCTTCGTCTGTATTTACACAAAAGCAGCGCAAAGATAAGATATGCAATGTTTTTTTTCCATTGGTTTTTATGAATATATACGCTTATTCAGAAGCCACAGGCATCATATTTATAGGGGACCTATTACATTTATTTTCAACACTCAATTTTATTTTTGGTCTGTTAGAATAAACTTACATGCTTCAGTGTTCTAAAAACACATTATTTTTCGTCATACCGTACATCTTTATTCACCCTCTGTCTGAAATGCTCTGTTAGAACTCCTGTGTCTTTAAGCCCCGCCTCCAGATGAGCCCAGTGCGCTCTGATTGGTCAGCTCACCTAGTTTGTTCTTATTGATCAACCGCCAGAGCGGTCCACCCCTAAACGTTCCACCCCTGTCTTGCAATCCGAAGACAGACTCCTGTAAAGTTACCATTTTGGAGATACAAGGTTTTCTTCTGACAACAGCGATATATTAACCTTCCAGGTTCCATACATTTATAAAAAAATTCATAAGGTAAAACATGAAAGATTGTGTTTTTGTACTGTTTTCAATGTAATACAGGTCAAACTGAGTATACTAATCACTGCTTTCTGGTAGATCCACATCAATAATTATTAAAGTGAGGCATTCTAAAAACTCAAACAGGCCATCATTTGTGTTCTACCTGCTAAAAGGCCAGTATTGGTTCAAACTTCATCTTGATGCATGGTGCTTGGGACGTCGCAGATCACTGTTTGTGATGTAATTTACAGACGCTCTCTTAGTTACCAGTGATTTCAGCCATCCAAATCACCATGTCTTGTGAGTTTAAAATGCATTCATTTTACACAAAACCTCAGATCTGACCTTCTTCGTTTCAAAAAATGATCATTTACACATGTGAACATTTTGCACCCATCATTCAAAAACTACTCTATAAAGAAATCATACATGCGAAAATGAAACCAACTTCTTTGGACTTCAGAGTTCAAAGAAGGTTTCACAGTCAAATTCCATGTACTAGTAACATTTCACTTGTTCACACTGAATGTGCAAGATCATGAAATCATGGGTTAAGAGCTCAGCTTTTTCGAGACTCGCCATAAAGAAGAGGAGCTTTGAAACTGTCACTTTTCCCTCCAGGCGCTAATGATTCAGCTTTCTGAAGGGGAGTCCGTCCTTGCTCTCTCACGCTTCCTCTTTCTCTCCGGCTGCTCCCTCTCTGTGTGTGTTAAATCTGCTCGGTGTGCGCAGTTTCATTTGGCACCCGCAGCAAGAGACCCATTTGGCGTCCGCTTGTCGAAAGCGTTCCAGCGCTTGCGATTGCCAGGCCGATGCTAACCAGCATGATAACAACAGCCAGCCGTAACACCTGACGCTACCCTGAGCTTTCTGTTAGCCTGAAACATTTTTGGGGGTAAAACACTAAGCTCCAGTGTTATTTGGGTTAATCTCGTTGTCGCTAAAACAATCATTGCTTTTGTTTTTTTTTAGAAAAGGGGAGCAAAAGCGTTAGAGCTTCATCTGTGAAAAAAAACTGTGCTACTTTACAAGCTAATGGAGGGA